GGCTTAAATTTGTAATGGAAGGCATTAAAAAAATTTGACCGAAAAAGTGAAAATCAAATTACAGATATACAAAAATTTCACAAAACCTACGTATTCGTGACAATTTACAGTCTGAATAATCGATTAAGCAGCACTCCATTATTCTAGTTTCGAATAGTTAATTTATCTAAATAAAAGTATAGATACTATGCAAAATCCGCTGACACGCATTCGCAGAACGATTCTACGACAAAGTGAAGTTATCATAAGTCAGCAGTAATACCGACTTGATCATTCCATTTGCAGATCACAATCAACACCCTTACAGACTTGTAAATGCGACTTTCGCCATCCAAAATAAAAACTGACCCGACGTAAACATATTAAAACGAGCGATTTTTCTGATTAGATCTGGCTATTTGATGTACGCAGTAGCTAGTTTCGAAAGCAAACAGTGGAAACTGCGATTGATACAAACGTGTTACTTTCCTTTTGAATGATTGATAGATAGCTACACGATTTACGATAATGACGACAGGATCATGTAAAACTTGAAATCTTACCGCATCACCATGATGAGCATCCAGATCCAAATAAAAAATACGGCGAAAATTTCTCTGTAACCTCATGATACCAAGAACGCAGTCATTGATATAACAGTACCCGGCAGCAGAGTTACTTCTAGCATGATGCCAACCCCCGTTCGGATTGATGGCGATCGGCGTTAAACCTTTTTCCAGTGCACGCACGCAGCTGAGAGTGCCTCCGGCTATCAATGTGGCATATTCATACACTGATGCAGATACCGGACAATCGAAACCGAGTCCGAAGCGCCTGCCTTCAATTTCGCAACGCTCAGGGTCATCCGACGCGCTAGCCTTTGCAAGAAAGTTAAGATATTCGCTTCCATGAAAGCAAAGGGTTTCTTCGCGGGCTGCAGGTCGAGGTGCAAATACCTTTAGCTGATCGAAAAGCCCATAACACTCTAACAAGGCGGCCACTCGGGAGGCGCGCTTTAAAATCCTCTCATTCCTTTCACACACTCTCACATACTGTGCAGAGCTCGCGAACCAAATCGGGCGGCTGTTTTGCATGTCGAAATGAATTAAATCTAAAGCAAAAGTTATCTATGGTTCACAGGTAATTTAAAATTTTTACCTTTGAAATGCAGTACAACTTTTGTTTCATGTAAGACATCTAAATCAGTCTTCAAACACTCGTTGTTACCAACATCTTGATAAAAAAACACAGATATACGTATATAGTCTTGATGTATATCAGTAAAATTTTATTTGCTTATGCAACGCGTGTTGTTATCAGTACAGAAAGATTTCAATGAGAGTAGGGTTCGCACAAAGCCTTATATATGTTGAATGTGAATCATCATCACAGAGCTGCACTGAATAAATTTCTGCAAATGACAGATTTCTACCCTTATGGATCGCGCAAGACTCTGGACAGAAACTGCATCACTAAACGGCGGTAAAGTTCGATCCGGCCAAGCAGCACTGTGTACTTGATTCTTGTGCCAGCATGCTGCAAATAAGCCTTCAAGACCTTGGCGTGAAATGGCTGGCGTTACACTGTCAAGCAGCGCCTGACGAAAACATTGAGCAGCTTTAACCTGAATAATCTGAAATGCAATTCATTCCACCAGCTGTTCTTCACTGATGTTACTGATCGGGCGATCAGCAGAACGGCTCGCCAAAGAATTACAGTCAATACTGCACAGTCATCAGTCCTATCACTGGGATAGCATGTACCAAGTACGGCAAAAGGCAGCCATAGACAAACGACAACACTACTTT